GTACAGTGTTGATGGTGGATTAGAAGGGTGAACTGATGGAGTACTATATGTACCCTTTAACAGCACCTACTCTATAGTAACAACCAAGTACAGTGATGATGATGGATTAGAAGGGTGAACTGATGTTGTACTCAGCCGTATGTACCCTATAACAGCACCCACTATAGTAACAACCAAGCACAGTGATGATGATGGATTAGRAGGGTGAACTGATGGAGTACTATATGTACCCTTTAACAGCACCTACTCTAGTAACAACCAAGTACAGTGATGATGATGGATTAGAAGGGTGAACTGATGTTGTACACTCATTATGTAACCCTTTAACAGCACCTACTCTATAGTAAGTGATAATGATGATGAAAACAATTGATTATGACGATGCATTGGTGTAAGTTTTGAATTTTCCACTTACGACTATTCTTATTTTCGCAGGGAGAATTCTCGAATATTCTAGTACACCAACTGCATGGTTTAACATATATTTACTCCCCGACGCGAGATAAAAGAAGAAATCGCCGATTATCCTGGATGATAATAATAATAGGTAAACAAATGCGAAGGTTTTCAACAAGTGACCATCCATGTGATCAAATTGGTAATGACAACAAGTAATAAAATTGCGCTATTTTCGTTTCCACAGCCGACGACTCCTGTTTACACAGTGGATGAATGGAAGGTAAGTGGTCAATACGAACCAAGTGTACTAAAATTTCAATAGTAATTTTAGTTTTGATTTTGTTTAATTTACTGTCAGTGAATCATTGAACACACAAAACGGAATATTTCATTTGGGTAGACCCACTTCAGTAAAACTACTGAACCACGTTTGGTCCAGCCCACACCAAAACCACCCACACACCTTGCGCCAAACAATGGGCGTATCGCCTTAATAAGTAGTCCGTTTAAATGTATTTTTATAGGGCCCGTAAGGATTAGTTCGAAACCTGCTCTACCCTTCTCCTCATATCCACATACTCCTCCCCCCCACTTATGAACGCTCCTCAGCGAAAATGAATGAACGCCTAGAAAACGAATGAAAGAAAATCCACCATGGGTGCCGTAGTAATGAGAGCGCTAACCTCTCAACAAAGCGACCCGTTTCCAAGTCCCGCCTGTGCTTCGAGGGTTTTCCGTGTTCTTCGGTTTTCCTCCGTCCGCAAAAATCAACTTCTAAATTTCAATTGGAGTTTCAGTCAATGAAGAGCTAAACTGTGAAAATGCCACTGCTAAATCCTATTTATTTTATTTTATTTTTGAAAGCGGTTATGTAATATCGTTTTGCTTGCGTGTGGTAATGACGGATCATGAGGCCTTAGAAGACGGGAAAAAATGTCTGAAAATCAAAGAAACAAAAGCATATCAAAACTGGGGAAAAGAGAGCAAAAATAAATATGAACAATACAAAACATAAGTAAAATCTTCCAAGGTCGTGGCGTATATTTTCCTTTTCTGTTTTCTCTATTTCATAAATTGACTCTAAATTTACTTCATCAACTCCGAGTAGCTAGTTGAAAAGAGAGGAAGAGGGTGAGTGAAAAGAGATAGTAAAAATAGATTTGAATATACAAAACAAAAGTATATAGAAAAATTTTCCAAGGTCATGGCTTAATTTTTTTTTTCCCCCTTTTCTTTTTTCTCTTTTAAATTGACTTTAAGTTTACTCCATCAACTGCAAGTAGTTGAACATTGAAGCATAGTTAATATTATCTATCACCTGTTATCTATTATCTGTTATCTATTAACTATGATTGAAGAAAACCTGTAAAATAAGTCATGAAAAGGGCAGCTTTCTTAAGATCGGTTGACTGATACCAAAGCCAACTTTTTTCTAATAGTGTTCCTCACAAGAAGCTCCTAGAAAAATAATTACGAAGACTATAAGGATTGTTTGACGTGTTTGCTGAGGTCTTCGAAAGAACAAACAAAGCCAGCAATAAATGGACAGCTTATTTATTTGAATCTTCAAATGCATATATAATTCAGTAAAGTTAATGTTCATCGAAAAATTATTAATACTCGAATACTTCTCTTAAAATTCTTTTATTAAGCTCCGAAACAACTTCTGCGTTTATCTAACTCAGCGCATGGCTAACTCACAGATCGAAATATCGTTTCGACTCTCCCTTTAAATTGGGATTTTTTTATGACAAAGTGTTTATGCAAAGAGTAGTGTTGGCGTTTCATTATTTCCATTTTGAAATATTACATGTAATTTACGAAACCCCCTCGCATAGTGCACATAAATAAGCAAGATAAACAAAGAGTGACAATTGACAATAACCTTCATGACCATCCACTCTATAACTTATTGGGTTATTAGAGATAGAGAGAACCTACCGCTAGGGCTAACTATCGATTGTTTTGTTGTCCCCTGAGGAAAGAAGCAGAAGACTTTAGTGTTTTTCGTTCCAAGATCAACCTAACTTCATTTTTAAAGCAATTTGAATAGACAATCGAGTTCTTGTTCCAATGTGCAGACATTGTACTTGTGTACGTGTGTTTCAGTTCCCACGAAGGCGAGAAATACTTCTTCCTTGATCTATAACTGTTCTTCTCTTTTTATTTTACCAACGCATTGGTTATCTTTCTTCCTATAATCGTAGTTGTTTATTGCACACACCTTCAATTTTATTCTTACTGCATTTAACGCACACATGCAGCACGTTAGTATATTCACAACAGTTCCATACTCGTGTCTAACACCGGATAATGAGTTTGAGTTTCTCACTTTTTCTTTCATCCTATTTTTGCACAGGACTTGTGCTTTCCTACCTATATATTCATCATGCAGTCTTGTTCTTGCTGCAATAAGCGCACACCACGTCAGCATATTGATATTAGTTTCTCGTCTAACCTGATAAGATTATATATTTTTGTTTTACGCATTACTCGTGTTTTTCCAACGAGAAAGGCAGTGGGAAATAATGCCATCTGATTGTTGCACGGGACTCCTTTAATCTACCACATACCGCATGCAATAAAAGAAATAAAATACGGATCAAGTTCTTATTTTATTTTGGGATGAAAGTGTTTTTCATGTGCTAGTGTGTGTGTACTTTGCATTTATATAAATATAACACATAAATCTCTATAAAATCTGAATCTAAAGCATAAATAAAAGAGAATTCAATCATCGGTTGAACCGAAACTATTACGTAACAAAATTGAGTAACTTGTTATCAGTTCATCAAAGCGGACGCACTTAGTTTATCTCTGGAAATTAATTTTCATAAAAAGGAAAAATGAGTAGTGCATTAAAGAGAATTATGAGTTTGGCGTTAGCTTGTTTTGCCCAAGGAAACATTGGTCTCTAATACTTTGTTTTATCATGCACCTATCAATGTTAAAGCCCTTGGGATGGTTGGGAGGGGGAACAGTCGCCACAACCAAACACAACTAAAGTTTTATGAAACCCTGACTTAATTCAGGGCATGGCTAACAAACAGAACCAGAAGGATTTGAATTTAGTGTGAAGTGTTTTTGCAGAATTTGAAAGAACGAACCGCACACCCAACAAAACCCTGCTTACGTACATGAACGATATAGTTCCCAGGGATTAGAGACAATGCGCCATAACTACACCTCCACTCATCTACCTCAGTCCCCCCCCCCCCCCCCCCCCCCCCCCCCCCCCCCCCCCCCCCCCCCCCTCGTATGTTTGCCATTCCTTTAAGATGGCAGCTCAAAAGCTCTACTTTCTTGGGAGTGGTGGGTGAGTTGGCACGCAAGCTGTACCCACCCTACGCTGCGGCTTACCATAAACTATATACGAGCACTCATATAAAAACGAAAGAAAAAACCCGATTTTTTTGTTCGAAATGATCGGCAAACGTTCTGTTAATAGAACCATCACGACTCATGCAATTAAGAAAATTAATTTGCAGGTGTTTTAATTTAACTTCATTCATGGCTAAACAGAAAAAACTCTAAATAGACTTACTATGGACGTCACAATTGGCCTTCCCATGAAGTCGGGTCGCCTTCCGTGCTCAACCTGATGAATGATTAGATTGTTAGTGTTCTATTACCGGTAAAACTACTTGAAAAATTTAAATAGCTTCTTAAATAGAAATATTTTTTTTAACTCACCACGTACTTGGACGACAATGATAAACGGGTCGGTTCCGCGTTATCCGTAAAGTCATCGCCTTTTGAAGTTTTGTGTAAATTGTCAGTGAAGTGTGAGATCAGTTATAAAGCTAACAGTGCGGCAGACTCAGTCACTTGTTAAACTGAGAATCAAACTGGAAAGAGGACAAGGTAAGACTTTTCGAATTCTAAGACTTGGATGCGAATTCTCGTGGAATCGTAAAGTTCTTTAAAATGCTTCGGTTAATTGTTCGGTATATAACTTTGTTTTGCTCTTGTCTTATTTAGGGCATGTCTGCATGGATTGAACGTAGGATAGCTCTAGCGCTAGTAAAAAGCATTTATTTTAAACGGTCTCGAGTTCCCAAAGGGACGCACAAAAAACGATTTCCTAAGAGAGAGAGCCTAAGTAAAATAACGATTTCGAAAGTTAGCTCATAAAAAAGAAGAAGAGTGATTACCGCCTAATTTAACCGGCCTACCTTGGTAAAACTGAAGATGAAAACTTCATAGGAAATGATAAAGATCATAGCTATTTTAATAAGATTTAGTCCATCAATTGCGTTTAGCTTCATTTTGCTCTTATCTTTATTAGGGCATGTCTGCTTGAGGGTGCCAATGAGGTTAGTAGTTAACTGACAAATGGCCCAAAAAAAAAAAAAAAACAGTACAGTTAACTGACAAATAACCTAAAATTAGTAGTTAACAGGTAACTGATATTTCATTATTTTAGTTAACATTGTGGCCAGCTCGCTCGTAAAATTATAACAGTTAACTGACATTCGGCCGAAAAATTAGCAGTTGAATGACGATTGGCTATTCCCACTGACACCCTCCTTCGTGAGTTGAGCGCAATGTATCTCTAGTGTTAATGTTGACAAGGTTGTAGTTCCAGAAAGGACCCAAAAACGATTTCAATACGGTTAGGTCATATAATAGTAGTCATCATCCTACCTTCGTAAATTACTGACAACTGAAGATGGAAAAATTCTTAGGAAATGCTATAGATCACAGAGAGCCTAAGTAAAATTTGAACCATCACTAGCGTTTTTATTAATTCATTCATTGTTTTAAACCTCACTGCGAGTTTAATTTTCTAGTTATTTATTTTACTTCTGTCAATCGTGACGAAAGCCGCTTAAACCTTGCTCAGTTAAAAAACTTTGCAAATCTTCGATTTGCTTCAAAGCAGCAAGTACACTAACATCAATCAGTACACCTTGTTATCTAATTGACATCAGGTATCATTCATATTTCTCGTTAAAACTCGCAGCATTCGGCAGATCCACAGTTTTAATAGTGCTATTATCATGTAAGGGACCTCAACCTTTAGCTACCTTTTTTCTTAGCAAACTAGCAGGGCTTTAATTTGGTTTTGTATTAGTTTCTTTGTTCTGTAGTTGTGCAGGTGGACGTGATGATAGTCAATGGTTTCTTTTTTTAACGTTTTTATTTGAAACTTTAATTAAGCTTTTTCTGGCTTTCCCATGAACTTGAATATTAAGCTTTTTCTGGCTTTCCCTTGTTCTTCTCAGTATGTGTGAGTGTTCGTCCTGGTCTTGTGCGGTACGTGTTCCTAGTATTTCAGTGGATTGCATGTGAACTGACCAACAGTTGCTTGTTATTATTCACAACTTCTAACAGATTATGTTAATGCTGTTCTGCAAACTTATCGACTGTTCTTTCATTATCATCTTTTCAAACATTTTCCATGCGGAAGTTTGAAAAGACACAGCCTTAATCATTCAAAACAGCTCTTTCTTTTGATTTCTTTCTTTTTGATTGTTCGAAAAGTTAAAAGGCTTATCACAATGCACTTCTTTTTGAATTCATTCCCTCCATAACCTCCACCATGTGTTATTCATTGAACTTTAAAATCATCTTACAAATACAGACTTATATCTAAGTTGCATCTCAAAGCCAAAATCCAGGCGCCGTTGTTGTCGTCCTGTTAAAAGTAACATTGATTACAAATACTCTCACCATTTTTAACCATTCAATGCAAACACAACTTGATAATTTCATTCCTGCTACGATTTTAGAGATCTCACTTTAAGGGCCCTCGTTTCCATTTGACAGGATTGACATTGCTTAATATTCCATGCATTTTTACCCAGTTTACAGTCAGTCGGAAAACGAGTTAAACAATGTTTTCTTAGAGCAGTTTTCGGTTTAAGAGTAAATGGTGTTGAAGTTTGTTGTTAGTTTTCGGTTCGTTGGTAAACACGCGTTACTACGGTATGACATGGCATAATATTGACTGAAATGGTTCCTATTGTATTTCTCATCGTGCAGCTTATCCATTCGCAGCACGACACGTAGTTACGCCTACAATAAGATACGGCACGGATACAGTACGACGACAACGATGTTGCCGCCTTGAATTGCCGCCTTTAGTTTCCCACTCTTACGAAATCCGGCCACTCTAAATATATTAGCAACTTAATTAGTTCGCGAATGATACTATGGCCTTTTTACGGTCAAGAGCTTTTCGTTGCATCTTTAATGAACAGAATATAAGTTTGAATTCTCGCTATGTCTGTTCAGGGCCTCCTATCCATCGCACACTCGAATATATGCTCAGTGAATGAGACATAAGTCCGATTCAAGGCGCGCAAAGCATTGTATGTGATAGCAATTTTTTTCATTATCTCCGTTATGTCTCGTCGTCAATAAAAGAACTTTTTACTACCAAGGCTTAAAGAAGAAAGATGCTATTTTTTGAGTATATTTGGCTGCAATTTTCTATATAAGACGAGTGGGTTTTAGATTCCTGTTTATCGAGCAAAAAAACCCGGAAGAAGGAAGCATCGGTCTGTAAAGAAAAAAATTACTTCCTCTTTAGAGGCATTTAGAAGGCGAGTAAAGATGCATGCTCCAAGAAATCGGAGAAAAAGACATCCATAAGAGACCGCTCCATCTCTCAACAAACGGAGAATACTGAAAGATATGACACTGAGAAAAAAATATGACAACGCCGTTAAACTAAATGTGACTTCAATTTATTAACTTCATCTTGCTAAACACCTTTGTAAATATTGTTTTTATTAGAAACTAAAGAGTCCGTTCATCGGCGTCATCTACTCCAAGTTATATAACGCGTGTCTTTTTTCTCCTCGTGGGAGACTTTCAACACCTCCGGCTTTAAATTAGTTCCGAGTCAATCTTGAAAAAATAGCTTGTAATTAAAGGCAGTTTGGAAGTCGAAAACAAATATTTTCTTATTGTTAATGGTATAAAGCGTGGGCTTTGACGTGTGTTAGGGTTTCAATGTCACTGCGACTTCAATGTGCGTCTAGTGTGTCTTTTTTTATTATAATCACTGGATTTAAGGTCTTAATGGCCTAACAGCACTATAAGTAGCACGAAAAAGCTGGAATAAGCGTTGCCGTAGCGTACCATCATTGGCCCTAAGTATTTTAAGTCTTTTTTTCTYGAGAGCATAATTCGCGAACGAGGGTAAAAAGAAAAACCAAAGGGGACGACAAAACTTGGTCTTAACGTAATTTTAGTTCTATCTTCTTATTTTCTGGTTTACTTCGGTGCCTTTTTCGTAAGTTGTAATATTTTCTTTGTTGAATTGCAGTAGCTTATGTCATGTTTTGTAAACTATTTTCGCCTCGTTTTTATCTGTCTTTTCAGGGAAGCATTTTGTTCAGTCATGAAAGCTTCTCTCCTTTGGCTTTGCCTTTTTATTGTGAGTCTTGCTTCTATAGAAGGTGAGTTGTTAGTTTTCTTCAGCATTCGCTATATATATAAATGGCAGAATATGGTCGCCATTAGTAGCATTAAGTATTGAAATAAAACTCTCGGTTTGGAGCTTTTCATACCTCAAGCCGTTCTCATCTTAACACCGTAGCGTTTTAGAAGAATGAGTTATGTAATTACAAATCTCGTTGCTTTCTCCCTGATACGACTTTCTGAAAATGTAAGTTGAACGTAACTACCGTAGTAAAATAAACTAAGAAGTAACTCACTCTCTTTCTCTTTATATCTTTTTCTTACAATGACTACAGGACTAAAATCTATCTTTGGACAAAAACCAATTGCTGCAATATTCATTATTTTTCGTACCGCAACTTTGTAGAGTTGGGCGGTAATTATAGGTCTTCTCTACCAGTGTCAACAATCAAAAGCACAATCACTTGTTTGCTCGGCCTTCTTGCATTTTCGTAAACATTATTGGCAGTAAGAAATAAACTGTCTACGAAAAACAGACATTACAGGTGCGAGTTTAGGAGTAAGGCCAACGGGGCGCGCGCCCCTTTTTTGGGAACAATATATTAAATCATATTTGCATACGGTTTTGAAGATTTTCTCTCAGGACGAAGTTTACCGGCCCATCCTTTCTTTGATTCCTGGATCCGTCCATGCCTTACGTAATCCCAAGGAACATTTGAGCAAAAGAGCAAAAGTCGTTGACAATGTTGCTTGATGCATGTGGGAAATAAAATAATTTCTACGGAAAAAGTAGTAAATAAGTTATTCCAGTTAAGTGTATGAAAATAGAGAAAAAATTCTTGATACAGTTGCTTTCCTGTCTATAGGTCGGACTTCGAAGAAAGCTAACTCAATCAAGTTCCACTTTAAATTGGCGAAGAGAATCGATACTCGACAGAGAGACGAAAGATGGAGAAAGGAAACATCCAAAGAAAAGAATATTCGATGTTTTGTCGTCAACAGCGGCTCTCCTACAGTTCGTTGCTCACTTGTTAAAAAATGTCCCAATCAAGATCCAACTTGTAGCACTTTTCGACAAGTTCGCCGAACGTCAGAAACTCATGAAAAAAGGATCAAAAAAGTGAGTACCACGCAGAAAACCACCCGGGTTTCAAAGTGCTCTGACAAGAAGAACCCTTTTTGCATTCATGATATATGGACAGGGAGGAAAAGATCTTACGAAAATCCAATTTCAAAAACTGAAGAGAACATCTTATCTACACTCTGTGACCCTGAAGATAAAACATGCATAGTCAATATCAAGAGAGCGAAAGGGAATCCAAAACTGCCTTTTAAGATGTACAGTGATGAAGGAAAATCAGAGCCAGAAGGAAAGATGATTAAGAATGGTAGACATTCATCTGCCGGCTTTAGTTCTTGGTCAAAGACTGGCTGTGATTTTATACGTGATCCAAACTGCAAGCTAGAAGGTTCCCTTGAAACACCTCAAAAGTTCAAAGATGTACTTAAAAGGCTCCAAGACCAGTTGGTAAGCACACTCTTTCAGTTAAGTAGCCATTGGCAATAGAATTTCCCACGGCCCCGGAGGTTTATACTATAAAAGAGGTATTATACATTGTTAGTGATGGTATAGTTTCTGCATTTTAAGGAAATGCGGGGCAAGAAAGGCCTTCAATTACTATCCAATGAACCTTACTTAGGTTTCCCTTAGTAAAAAGAACTATTGGGTAAAATAATTTGTCCTATCGCGGTTTTCTTATAAAATTCTTCGATTCTTCTTGAAATGGCTTATATGAATGTGTGTTTTCAGCCTACTACTAAACGTCAAAAGAATTGCAAAGGGAAAACGAACAAGATCTGTCGTTGGAGGCCACAACCAAACGACGTGAAGGAAATCGAGGATCAAAGGCCTTTGAACTATTTTACGATGTACTCTAAATCCAACAAGAACAACAACCTTGAGTTGACGAACCAAATAGCTGATAACAGAACATAATTTGGTAAGAACAATGTAAAGGAATGATTCGGTTTTGAAAAAGAAACGTTTTTTCTCTGGAATTCCTGCTAGTTAAAATATCTTGTATTTCGTTCGTTCGTTCGGTTCCTTCGTTCCTTCGTTCGTTCGTATTATTATTATTATTATTATTATTATTATTATTATTATTATT